TAATTCTAAAAGCAAGACTGCTTTGATTCTTTATGATAAAAGTCTGAGAGCTTTAATGAAGGCTACAAGAGTAATGAGAGACTCTGAATTATTATCATTTGTACGGATCATTACTTGGCATTGTCTAGAGGGATCTTGGAAAAAATGGGCATGGAAGAAAAGGAATAATTTGAGAGAGCCCAGAGAGGAACAAATAAATTTTAATCACTGATGGCATAATTAAAATGCAGTATTTCAGGCAAACTTTATTCAATTCTGATGGGCTCAAAGTTGAATCAGCCTTCCATTCATCAATAAAATGAAGACCCAGATTGTTGGGTCAATATCCAAACATTGTAAACAGTTTACAAAACATACAAAACATTGAAAATGCCTAGAGATTGCTGTAAAGCATTATGGGGTAGTACATAAGCCCAAATGCTATTGGTATTGTTAAATGAAAAGGGAATATCAAGAAATGTAGAACCTGCTTGGAACAGAGTGAAAATAATGCTACTATAGAATGCCCCAGAAGTATGTAGAACTCCACTAAAAGACACTTGGTAGAATAACAAAGAAGCTGTGAAAAAGAAAAATGCATATGGGAGAAGGTTTGTTGTCAAAAATGAAGGTTTGAGGTGTGTGTGTGTGTGTAAAGAAAGTTCAAGAAATATGTTAAAAGAGTGTAGGGAATTGCAAAGATTAGTAAAGTGTAGTAAATGCATAGGGATTTTGATGGAAATAAAAAACTGTTTTCAAATGAAGGAAAGTATATGGATAAATATGGAAGAACCCTTCACATATTCATAGTGACCTTTGCAGATAATAAATGCATAGGGTTTTCTTTTAAAGATTGCTATATTGTGACAGAAACCGTAGCTGGTCTTTTTTCATTTCTGAAGTGTGTGTGTGCAGAACTGTGATTTCATTCCCTTTGTTTGAAAATTCTGATTCTATGCCTGGACTTAAGTTCCTTACTGCATTACTTTTCTTTTACAACAAAAGGGAGGTGGGAACCAACTGTGTAGGGGAACGGGTCAAAACTGGCCCTTCAAGCACTTCTGAACAATGGGACAGATTGTTAAGTTGCCTTGACTTCAAGCAAGAGAAGGTTGCCTTCAGAAGCTGGGAATCCAGATGAGGTGTGAATTCCTACTGCCATAGTGGGAAACTGTTATTTTTGAAACTTTTTAGAGAGGATCTCTCCAAGATTTCCATTAATTGCTGAGAACATTTCTGTTAAAATAAAACAGCTTACATATACAGCTGATAGTTATTGTTGCTTGTTGTTTTGACTGCTCTGGGCTATAACCTCCGTATACTGTAGATGGCAAAGGTAAAAATATTTATTTGTGCTATTTTTAAATATGGATTTTGTAACATTGGATACCTTTGATGGGGAAAAGTGTCACAAATCTAATAAAATAAGCATCCACAAGGATTTGCTTATATTTGTGTGGGAGGAATATTGAATTTTACAAGCTGTCCTAAAGATTGAATAGTGTTCAGCTCAATTTCAATGAGAAGTAAATTTTCATTCTGAAATCCCCTAGCTCCCTTGAAACTGTCAGTACAAGGACTTTTATTTTCTTGAAGAAGGAGCTGTTACTATCAAGAAATGAGCAATGCTGGAAAGAATGACAGAAGGATTTTATTGTAAAATTTAGTATGGGCAGTGGTAAAAAGGAATACATCAACATTTCAAATCATGCTGCCATTATCAATGAAAGTGGCTCCTAAGTGAATCAATGCTTAATTAAACTGAAGTGATTCGATATGAAAATAAGTATATGCATTTTATTATTATTTTAGTTTTCATTTTGAAAGAGTAAGCTAACTTTGAGATATGGTAGGAGAAGAAGCACTGTTCTATTGCAATAAATAGTAATTGAATTATAATTTAATCTAGTGTTAGAATTCTGGAGAGAAGAATGGGATGTTTGAAAATGTCAGTGTATTCTTTCTCTGGTTATTTTTATTCATCTGATTTGATCCAGAAGATAGACATGTTTTGGGTCCCACTGACTCAGGAATGCCAGTTGGCATGGCCCAAGTAGCGTGTCTTTAGCACCCACTTTGGAGAACATTGTTCCTTTGAAAATTAGGATACCTTCATCCCTGCTGGCCTTTTATAACATCTTGAAGAGCTACTTCCATGCCTGGGCCTTTACAAATTCAGGGCCTCATATCCAAGTAGTGCTATTGACCATCAATTATGATATCTTCTTTTTACATTTGTAGCAGGAATTGTTTTCAACTTATTTTGAGATGGTTCACTGCCCAGAGTCACTTGTTGAGTGGCTATACAAGTTAAATGAATAAATCGCTGTTTCTTCAATAAAGCACTCATGAATCTCATTGCTTCTTTGAGGAGGCCTGGAATTCTGGATTCATGGAAACCTTTTGGATGAAAGAGTGTTGATAGGGATGAAGAAGATGTCTTTGATGCTGCCGAATTGAAAATATACCTTCAAGTTCCCCACTGAGCGTAATATTTGGATATATTGTGGACTTAAGATGAGAAGAGGATAAGCAATAAAGATAGTGTCAACACTGTGCAGAGTCCTAATGGGTCCATGACTACTGTGCATGATCATGTGCACGGGTATCAAACTCCAGGCCTACAGGCCAAATCCAGCCCACGGGGTACTAAGATCTGGCCCATGGGGCTACCCTGGAAACAGCGAAGGACCAGCACGTGGTGCCTCTGCCAGAAAAAACAGCTCAGGAGGGCCATGCGTGGTCCTCCCAGGCTCAGTTTTTGGCTGGGACGGTCTCCTGTAGCCCTCTGCCAGCAAAAAAGGATCTTTTGGGGGGCACATATGGTCCCCCAAGCTCCATTTTGTTTTCTGGCAGAGGACTGCAGGAGGCCGTCCTAGCCAAAAAACGGGGCCACGTCCAGCCCAGCCACCCTGGTCACACCTACCCAGCACCCCGAGGTCAAACACAACCCTGATGCAGCCTTCAATGAAATTGAGTTTGGCACCCCTGATCTTGTGATTTATGTAGGGGTTGTGTATTATATCTTCATTCCTGCATTCAGAATGTATCTTCCATTTTCTTCACAAAGAGAGAACTTTTATGCATCTACTGTATACTTTTACTGAAACCAGTAAACTTAATAATTGTAAAATGGATTCATTTTTATGCTGCTCCTATGCTGTTGATTTCATTTTTGTTTCATGTTTGTTTATCCCAATGTCATGGTATAATAACCTCTAGGTAAGGATTTAATAAATATTGACTGGATTCTGTAACAGAGAAATGCTGACACACTCCAAATGAACAATATACTTACATATATTTAATTATAGTTTGTAGGAAGTGTAATTGATTTTTTCCTCCTCCCCCTCCCCCTTCTAGCTGATCATGCTGGGAGCTTGATGTAGTTATCTAAATGAAATCCAATGTCATGCCTGTAGACTTCCCCTCTTGGTACTGAACTATTTTTCTCCTTTCATTCTATCTCAACAACCTGGGTTCTCAAAAGCTGCTTTGGAAGATTGGGGCAACTTCTAAAACAAATGCTTAGGGGGAAAATGTCACTTAGTGTTCCATGAAGCAAAATTGCATCAATTGATAGAAGCACACCTCTATGTTCTACTCAATGATACAAAGTTCTCTATGGTTTACATTTGTTCACTGAGACCTTCATTCTCAAAGTGTCAGTTCTTATATGGTCAAAAGTGCATTATTTATGAAAAAAGGGAAGCAACAGCAATTGGGCTACAGGCCCCACTTGTATGGAACAGATACCCACACTTTATTAAAAGGGTGTGATTTTAATAACATTTTTTTTCTTAATGTTCTAGGAAAATAATCCCATTAATTGAAGGAATACTTTTCATTACTGTCACTGGATATATAACAAAACAAATGCAGTGGTAAATAGAGCAGTCATAGAACAATTGTGCAAAGAGAAATGGGGAGATATAATATATAATATATAACATGTATGAAAGCATTCATATCTCTTAAGTTTATTTTATATTAGCTGCTGTGATTCTAGAACCAGAAGACCATTTTCCAGTTGGCCACCAATTCATCCTAAAGAGTTAAAGAGTGATCTACTTTTAGATTTGAAGCTTACACAGGGAATAACATTTATAGATTTAAAATATATTACCAATGAATTTTTCAAGCACTGTTGTAAAGATGCAGGAACTGTGCAGAATTGCGCCACTCTTTAGGAGTAATATGAACAGTTAACATATAAACAGTGAGTCAATCCCTCTTCTGCCAAGTTTTTAATAATCAGAGCAATAAAAACAGTCCATAATAAGCCTACTTGAATATTTCTACCTGTACTCAGTCTGAATTCTCTTGAGCCTATCTTTTAAAACCATTGATTTATAAATAATTAAGAAAAATGCTCATTTAAATGATTTTTCCTCCTATTTTTTTAAAGGATGAAAAGAACCAGGTCTTGATAACAAATGCTTGGCTACAGATGGTGAGTAATTTTGCCTTTATTTTGGGTGAGCCACTGGCTGAATTTAATTATTTGCCAAAGAACAGATTCTCCAGATAGAGAAAAGATTGTCTGAAGCAGAAAATAAATCCTGCCTATTTAGAGTTTATGTTAGTTATAATTCTTAGGATAGAGAAATTAATAGTTTGGCTTTCAGAGAAAGCTGAGTAATTTCTGAAAGAGGTTTGAGCCAGATTAATGTTGAAGCTGAACTTCCATTTGTGCTGAAAATTGAACACTGCAATTTCTCCTGACCCCTAATTTAGTAGCCCTGTACTAGCTCCCTATATTCCTTACTAGCTCTATACCCATGCTTCGCTACGAAACTATGTGATTGGGCTTAGTTTCTGGGCAGGAAAATAAGGAAAAAAATTAGTAATTTTTTTAAAAAAAGAACAAGGTCTTGAAACAGAAATGCTCTGCATATTAGTCAATTACTAAAATTATTATGGCATATCTGAACCCAAATATCATCTTTTTCTGTAGGACATTGGCAATTCCATCTATAAAAATTCATATATATCTCTTCACAGATAAACCTTGCCCTAGGATGGTGGCACTGATTCCTCATATTATTTTATATAGTGGCAGCATTTAAGGTGGTCTAGTAAATAATACAGTATATATTTCTCCATAGTGCTGGATAGATGCTTATTTGTCATGGGATCAGTATGAATATCCAGGAGTTCAGAATTTGAGATTTCCAGCTGATCAGATTTGGGTGCCAGATATTCTTCTGTACAACAGGTAAGGCAATCGTGTATGAAGTAATTTTTTAAAAAACTTGCAGAATAGTATTGTGGTTACTCAAGTTTACTTAATCAAATAATTCAATGTGGTAAAATTCTTTTCCTTCTAAAGCAGGGGTCTCCAACCTTGGCAACTTGAAGACTTGTGAACTTCAACTCCCAGAATTTCTAAGCCAGCTTTGCTGGCTGAGGAATTCTTGAAGTTGAAGTCCACAAGTCTTAAGGTTGCCAAGGTTGGAGACCCCTGTTCTAAAGCACATGTAACCTGTGGACTTAATTACTACAAAACACATGACAACCATTACTTGAATGGCTTTAAAAGAAGATTAGATAATTTAATGGAGAAAGCTCAGTGAAGGACTTGTAGACTTGAAGAGTCACCCTTCCCTTTTGGCAACCTGCCCCCAAATATCAAGTTAAGAGGAACAACAATTGGAGAGTGGTATACATCCACTTTCTAACTGTGAACATCTCAAAAACTAAGATGGGTCTTGTTCTAATTCAGAAACATGTTCCTCTGAGCAGGTTGGATCTCAAGCACCTTTACTTTAATTCCCGCCAAAGCTTAACAGGATTGATCAGAACATTGCTGACCAGCACTAGATATGTCCCTTAGTAATGGTCAACAGTTATCAAATTCTTTGGTTCTGACTCCTTTCAAAGTACATTAGAGGCTGTTGTGGCTGAGCCCATTTCATTCAATACTTTAAAAAGCAACAAATATTGAGAATATTTTTCTTGTCCAGAATCTTTCTAGCCTATCAATTGGCTAGGCTGGTTTAATGGAACAGAATATTCAGCTACTTACAGAGTAAACTATTGGAATGCTTTCCATCTGGTGTCTGTTAGACAAAAGGGGAAAGTCTGTCAGCAGGGCAATGGACATCTGAGATAGCAAAGGAAAGGAAAGACAAGCTTAAAATTAAAGAAAATTAAAGCACAGTCTCGGCAAAGGTCTGGAAACAGGCAAATCTATGGAAAGAAAGAAGTGGAGAAGAAGTTGAGAGCTAGAGAGCTAGAGATGGAAAGCACTTGCAGATCAAAGAATCACTACAGATGTCTTTGGAGTATGCTACGCTGTGCTAAACTATGCTATGCTATTCTTTGTGACGGTAAAAAACAACCCACCAGATCAATAAAAACAGTGTGATTCTTAACTAAAGATTATACTAGTAGTTCTCGACTTATGGCCACAATGAAGCCCACAATTTATGCTGTTAAGTGAGACATTTATTACATGAATTTGCCCCATTTTACAAACCTTTCTTGCTTCAGTTGTTACGTTGTTAAACGAATCACTGCAGTTAGTAACCCAATTATTAAATGAATGTGGCTTCCCCGTTGACTTTGCTTGTGAGAAAGTCGCAAAAAGTGATCACATGATCTTGGGACACAGCAACGGTCATGCATGTGCATCAGTTGGCAAGCATCTGAATTCTAATCACATGATCATGGGGATGTTGGAACTGTTGTAACTCTGAAAAATGGGCTATCAGTCACTTTTTTCAGTGCCATTGCAACTTTGAACAGTCACTGTGAACTGTTGTAAATCAAGGACTACCTGTATCCTAGAGTAGAGTAGAGTAGAATAGAATAGAATAGAATAGAATAGAATAGAATAGAATAGAATAGAAT